CCCCTCCCCCTTCCCCCTTGCCCCAGAATTTACCATCCCCTGGTGCAGAGGAGGAGAGCTTGCAGCACTGCTACGAAAAAGCTGAGACGTGTTTTCAATTTGCCTCCTGCTTATCTCTGCTGTTTGGACAGAGAGGTTTAAAAAGCTGGATTTTCTGTCCCTGCAGAGTAAACACACAGAACCCGGCAGCACAAACTATTTCTGGCTTATCAGTGGAGGAATGCAGCAGCTGAGGCTTAGCGCAAGTGGGCCGTCAGGAAGGCCCTGAAGGGGCCCCCTCCCCACTCCGCGCTATTAGAAGTGTGAGAGCCCAGCAGGACTCAGAGGGGAGAGTTGGAGAAAAAGGCAGAAAAGGGAAAGAAAGAGGAAGAGAGAGAGTGAGAGAGGCTGAGCAGACCCTGATGGCTACAGATGAAGTTACAGGAGGGGCTCGCAAAGCTACGAAAAGCAAACTTTTTGAGTTTCTGGTCCATGGGGTGGTGAGTCGGGAAAGTTAGTGAGCTGGCTGGCTCTGAATAGAGGGATGAGTGGAAACTGGAGGCTCTGTGCTGGGCTGGATCGGCTCCTGCAGTGTGCTCCTGGGGCGCTGGTAACTGCCTTGCCAGGAGAGCACCGGGGTCTGTAAATGCCCCAGAATATGCACTGATTCATTGATAATAATAGGCTTGTGTCTGGGGGGATGTGTGCTGTGATTTTTGCTTTGATTCTCCATGAATGGTGAATAGCGTGCTTTTGAGCCTGATCATGGTGCAGAATCTGCACTGGATCTGACCCAAATGGGCTTGTAGGACACTTTGTTCTGTAATCAAACTTGTGTTTTGAAAAACAGTTCTGATGAAAGCCTGGTGAAGCCTTGTGGTACTGCCTCTGGGTCTTGTCTCCAGTCTTGGCTCTTGTGTATCCTCTGGCTACTTAACAGGTGACTTTCAGGGGCTTGAAGAGATTAGCTCTGCAGATCTGTAACAGTGTATGGGAACTCACCCAGGAGAGAATTTCAGGGTGCCATGCTTAATTGAAGCAATCCTTCAGGTCTTTACAAATTCTCAGGCTTTTGTTTAAGAATCGGGTCTTCGATCTCCATTTAAGGGGAAATGCTAACCCTGTTTTGCTGCCATTGGAAACGATGTTCTTTAAATGACTCTCTAGTGATTGAGAGCAGTCACCATTTATAACGTTTGGATTTCTTGTATTGATACACATTTAACAGAAATAAGACTGTTAAAGAGCCCCAAGGAATGCAGATATTGTTTGGATACTGATGGTCCTGAGTGTTTTCTGTCTTGAGGATTCTGGCACCTCCTGTGACACCTTTTTGAAGACATCAGGTGGAAGCTCTTGTGCAAAGGTCATAGGAATCTGCGGAGCTCACGGCAGGCTTCTAAATTGTCTCCGTAATTCAGGCTTACTCCAGATGTGTAGGATCTAGCGTGTGTCCTGCAGACCCTGGGTATGGTGGGACTTGCAAGGCTGAGGACATTTAGGTGGCATTCTGTGTTTGTGAGAACAGTGAACAGGTGATGTGGTGCCAGTGCACGGGAGCAGTCTGCGAGATTGGCAGGTGTACAGGGATGACTGCAGAGCAAGTGTGCAGGCCTGCAGCAGTGGTTTTGCTGTGGACACGTGGGTTCATTAAGGTAGTCTGGCTCAGGATGGCTATAGCTGGGCAGAACCATAGGCACATTGGGAGGGGTGGATATATGGGATGCTTTTGCCTTTTCCAAGGTTTCTGTTGGTATTTGCACACCAGTGGTCTTCCTTTTGGGATCAAGAAGAGTGGCAAAAATAGTTACGTGAATTTGCTTCTTCCACATCTAGATGGACTTAATGTGAAAACAGCATGCTAGTCTCTTAAGCATGGGAATTTTTAATTTATACCAGAATGAATATAGCAGAACTTACTTCCATTACTTATTTGAATACTAGAAAAGTCTGCCTTTTCAGTGCTGGGAGTTTTGCCACTAGTGGCATCTTAAATATCTGCATTTGCCTGGAATATCTGCATTTGTTTGTCATCTTCCCGCTACTTGTTAGTGAGGCTGGGGCTTCTTGTCTGTTATTCTGTTGCCTGAACACCTCATGTATGACTCTCTCTCCTCCATGATGATCTCCTTTAGTTCTGCTTTTGCTTGTTTCTTCTGTCCTTCAGTTTCTTCCTCATCTCAGGTTCATTTTGATCAAAATACAGGTTGGAGTAGTCAGTCTTCCGTTACTTAAAAAAGATTTTAAAAGTTATAATTTCATTTTACGTCTTCAGATCCTGTATCGTATGAAATAAGAAAATGTGCCATTACCCTGAGTTTGCATATTGTTGACTATTGAGTTTTATTACCATCCACAGTGTGTCAGCATCTGAATTAATTCCTTGAAAAATCAAGTTCCATAGCAAACTTCACTGGAATTCCATGGAGTCAGATGCTGCTTTAATTTCAGGGAAAAATCACCTCTTCAAATTACTTACTTTTTATTTTATCTACGATAACATTATTTGATTTGGTTATTGCAGGCTCCTTCCTCTCTCAAAAGAAAAAATACAGAGAGGTAAATAGAGGTAGAATGTTGCGAGAAAATGTTTTGCTAGGTGAACACTGAAATGAACAAGATGATTTTGCAGTATTTCCTAAGGGCAGTTAGCTTTTGGATTCACTTGATATTTCTGGAAACATATGTTCCTTTGCTAAGGTCACTTCGCCCTTTGCTCTTGTGCACTTGATCTTGCCTTTGTTCTTTCCCATATTGCGAGCTTAGAAGATGTCTTCTTCCTAGTTTGTCCCAGTCAGATGGGATCCTGAAAAAAAGCTGAAAGGTGAAGTCTCTTAATGGTTAAAATTCTCAAGTGCAATACTTCATTCTCCTCCTCCTTGAGTTCTTGATAGTTTGTTACACCTCTGGTTAGCAGTTCTTCTTTTAAAAAGGTTATATTTCTTTCCGTTATTTATTTTTACAATTCTTTTATTCCTGTTCCATTTCATCAGGCTCTTGCACATTGTTTTTGTGGGAAGAGAGAAATTCCCCCCACTCCCCCCCCACCCAAGGCTTCATCCTTTATTTTGTCCCTTTTTTAAAATTCATCTCTGCTCTATTTCTAGCACTTATATGGAGAAATGTGGCTTCAATCACCACATTTATGTTGATTTATCTCTTTATTGATGCATTTTCTACGGTCCAGTAGTACATTTCAGTCTATCTTTATGACATCTCCCTCTGGGTGTCCAGCTGTTGCCTTAAATTTTGTTGACCCAAACCAAGTTCTTAATCTTCTGACAGGTCATTTCTTTTCTCAGTTTCCTCTGTCCTCTAGACCCTGTCATAGATCTGCTGGCTGGATCCATTCAATGGATGTTACCTTTGTCTCCCTTTTTATTTTCCCCTTTTTTTCTTTTTCTTACTCAGACAGGTATTTCCCCTCAAGACAGGGCCTTGAGAAGGTCCATGATGCAGATCTTGTCAAAGCTCTTGTCCAGACATCTGTCCTCTTGTGACTTAATTGCAGCAGTCTTCTCTTTGGTGCCTTGTACCGTTGACCTTGCCTGTGTCATCTTCACACAAGAAGCTGCTGAGAGGTTTGTTTTCTTGTCCTCTTGTTCTGACCTTTTTAATCTGCTTCTGTGTCCTTTTTCTGTTCCTACTTTATCTTCCATCCAAAACCAATCTTCTTGCCTTTTATTCAGAAGATACACCTATAAAGGTCTATGTCCCTTTCTTAACTATCAAGTCATATCTGTATTTACAATATACTTGCTGTCAGTTCAAATCACCTTCTTCTTCCCATAATGATCTTGTACTTTGTCCTCTGTGCTGTGCTTAGGAAGCTTTTCCTGTTAATATAAGTCCTTATCCATATTTATTTTCTGCTAATATGTGGTTTTTTTCATAGTTCCTGCTAATCTCTACAGTTTAATATTAGTTGCACATCAAGACTGCTAATTTATACAAACCTATGTATCACTTATGTGACTCCTTTGCTTAACCTCAGTCTTTTTGTCTGGTTATCTGCCTCTCAAATCTGGTCATGGAGTTGTGGTAAGTACAGAAACTGTGTTATATGAAACAGCACTTAGTACAGTGGAAGAAGGGTCTCAAAGCATGCCATCATGGAAACAAATATTTAATATAGTGATAAATAACTCAGTGCCAACGTTAAAACAGACGAAAAGACAGGTCTGGTGCCCCAAAGATGTGTATGGACTGTCTAATAGATTTATCAGTGATTTGGAAAAGGGGATGAGCAATGAATTTCATAAATAAATTTTGCATCTCCTCATACATTGCTGGGTTTTAAGTGAACTGTAACCATTCAGGAGGAAGGCTTGGATGTCACTGGGAGCTAGCTGCCTAGTATGTAGCAGCAGCCACTGCTGCTAAGAAAGCAAGTAAACTGTTAGCCTGCTTAAGAAATGGGGCAGAGGATAATGCAGAAGCAATTGTGAATCTGTGGCGTATACTTACAAGAATATTTTTCTGATTTTGGTCATCTGCATGACTAAAAAGCAAAAGGAGGGGTAACTCAGAGGCAGTAGTAATGGGAGGCCTGTGAAGACTTCATCAATAAGAGAATTTTTTGCTTTTTTTAAATTTATAATATCTTAAGGGTGGAGACTGATTAGGAAAGTTGTAAATCTGTCACTGGAGGCTCTTAGGCACTGGTTAAAGAAGTAAACTTATATCAAAGATTATGGAGATACTGGTGATACTTCTTTGAGACAAGGAAGAACTAGATGACCTCAGGGACTCATATTTCAGTATATTATAAAAATTATATTTGTTTTATTAGAATGGGAAGAACTAAAAATGTTCTCCCCAAATTGAATGGTGATCTGTTTTAAGTGGATAAAAATGATTTTTGTTTCTTCCAGCCAGTCATCTGTTTGTAGATATCACTACTAGAAGTAGCAAGGTGAGGAGAATAGAAGCTTGAAAAAAAGTAGAATTTTGCTAATTAAAAATATCCCACTAATTTTTATATTATCACGGATATAAACATTATCTTGTCAGAGCATAAATCATCTAGAAGGGCTAGAAAAGAGCCTCGTGAACTGTCATTTTTGGGCAGTTCCACTTCCCTACCACAGGGCTGTCTGTGCGGCTCTGTGCTAGGACATGGTCAGGGAGCAGGTCCTGGAATGGAGTCACTGGTTTGCTGCATATGTATTCCCTGGTTTAGCCCAGTGTCTCCAGTTGCAGGGAGCAGCAGATGACTGCATGGAAGTGTAGGAACAAGGCAAAAACCTAGTGATGGTTCATCCCAACACTCTGTGCTTTGTAGCTCCTGAACTTTCTGACCCAAAGCTGCCCTCTACGTGTAGTACCTCTGTATGGATTTCATTTATGTAGGTTAGTCTGTTGATGTCTTCTTAACCCACATAAACTTTTCAGCTTTCACAGTGTTTTGTATTGGGAATTTTTGCAGCTTATTTTACATAAATAAGTACATGATCCTGCCAACTGCTGGCTGTTATCTAATCCTTGTAAGGGAAGAGAC